TTAAATACGCTGCTAGTGGCAATTTCGTAATTACTCTGAAAAATCTGGCAACCTAATTTTTAGTAAAATGACCATAAAATCCTCATACGATATCCAAATTCGATGATTCTTTTTGCTACAGGTCCGTAATTACGATACGGATCTAATGCTTCAATCAAAAAAGAAATCGGAGCTCATTTGTTCAATATGATATCATTTATGCTTGAAGAAACGGCGTCGAAACATAAGAAAACGAGCGCAACACAACCCAAACCTATTCAAAACTCACCCGAGGCCCTCGGGACCTCAACTGAAAATTCCAACAAGTCACATATCACTACCCGAACTTAGTCGAACCTCCGGAACACCCCAAAACAACACCAAAACACCAAATCAACTTCGAATTCAAGCCTAAGACTTTTAAACTTCCAACTTTTGCCAATTCAAACCTAATTCTACCACGGACCTCCAAATTACATTCCGGACACACTCCTAATTCTAAAATCACCCAAGGAAGCTAATCGAATCATAAAAATCCAAATCCGAATTCGTTTACTCATAAGCCAACTTCCGGTTGACTTTTCTAACTAAGAGACTAAATGATCATTTCACTCCAAAACTACTCTGAATCCAAACCTACCAACTCGATATAACTCAACACAGCTGAACAACACATAAAGAAATAGAAATGAGAGAACGGGGCTACAACTCTTAGAACGACTAACCGAGTCGTTACACGGTATATAATTCATTCATTACGGTCATACGTATCGGCCACTAATTCTTCGTAGCAACTATAAAATTCAATTGTTTTAAGGTTAATTTCATTTCGTTGCTCTTTATAGTTATATTGAACGTCTCTCTCTCTCTCTCTCTCTCTCTATATATATATATATATATATATATATATATATATATATATATATATATATATATATATATATATATATATATATAATTTAGTAGTTGATATACAATTTCATTCATTACGGTCATACGTATCGGCCACTAATTATTCGTAGCAACTATATAGTTCAATTGCTTTAAGGTTAATTTCATTTTTTTGCTCTTTATAGTTATATTGAACGTCTATATATATATATATTTAATTTAGTAGCCGATATATTATTTCATTCATTACGGTCATACATATCGGCCACTAATTCTTCGTAGCAACTATAAAATTCAATTGCTTCAAGTAGATATTGATACTAGTTAATTACATGGTTGTGGTTTATATATAGTTACATTGAACGTCTATATATATATAATAAGTAGATATTGATAGCGACCATAAATTACGTTTACTATGGTTCCACTAGTCAATTGACACCAATCGTTATATTTTGGGATATAATTAGCAATTTAATTATGAAATATAAATAATAAGTAGATATTGATACTAGTTAATTACATTGTTGCGCTTTATATATAGTTACATTGAACGTCTGTATATAATAAGTAGATATTGATATCGACCATAAATTACGTTTACAGTGGTTCCACTAGTCAATTGACACCAATGGTTATATTTTGGGACATAATTAGCAATTTAATTATGAAATATAAATAATAAGTAGATATTGATGCTAGTTAATTACATTGTTGCGCTTTATATATATATACATATATATATATATATATATATATATATATATATATGTGTGTGTGTGTGTGTGTGTGTGTGTGTGTGTGTGTGTGTGTGGTAGCCAATATATAGTTTCATTCATTAAGGTCATGCGTATATTGATAGCGACCATATAATTACGTTTACTATTGTTCCACTAGTCAATTGACACCAATCGTTATATTTTGGATATAATTAGCAAGCAAATATTG